CTTTCCCTTGGAACGGTCTTTAGGGGTGCTGGTGTGTGTCTGTGTGATAAACAGAGTTGCCTTAAAATGTTCTGTGGATGTTTGTGAGCAACCTTCTTTGAAAACACAAGGAGTTTGGCAACCTTAGCCAAGAGCTAGGGTTACACAATCACATGGAATGTGGGACTGTGGATTTGGGCTTATATGTTCTCCCTTTAATGACAGCTATAGGTAGTGGAGTGGTGGAAGCTGAACTCGCTGGCTTCCCTTGAAAAGACAACAGGACAATTGAGAAGCAGTTGCCGTGCCTTTGCTCTGCCTACAGCTTGCGCCAAACAAAGGATACTCAACTTAGACGAGTTCCAGCTGGTAGCAAAGTAACTGTGGTTTTAGCATAGCTGTCAACCGTCCCTTATTTGACGGGAAACTCCCTTATCCCAGCGCCGTGTCCCGCTGCTGTCCCTTATTGATGATGTCCCTTAAATTTCCCGGGTTTCATGCTCACCCGGCTCGGAGGGAAGCAGCGGCTCAGGGTCCTCCTCCGCGAGATTTCCCCCTCTGCATCCCTTTCCTAACTCTATTTTTATAAATCATTTGTCCATCCATAGTTCAAATTTTTACTACAAGTTTTCTGTCAATCCTACCAATGTATGTAACTCTTGACAATAGCTTTTCAACGAAATTATAAACTTTCCCCATTCTTTATTAAAGAGGTCCTCTGGTTTCTAATTCTGCCTGTAAGCTTTGCCATCTCGACGTCGTTCATCAGTTTCGTCTGCCACTCTTCTTTGGTCGGAGTTGTAGACCCTTAGGATCATCTAGTCCAACCCCCTGCAAAACACAGTCAGTCGCAGCAAAAGCAGCATGGCCTGATTTCTGTATAAACTAAGCCAAAATCCCTTATTTTGGCTGCTGATCCCTTATTTTAGAGGCTGCTGGTCCCTTATTTTCGAATCTGTAAGTTGACAGCTATGGGTTTCAGTCAACCAGAACCCAGCCTCTCCAAAGCTAAACAGTGATTCATTCCCCTACACCAGGCTGCCTAGCAAGCCAGCCAGCTTCTGAATTCCCTTTTGTCCCCAGGGCTCTTGGCACAACCTCAATGCACTTCTTCTTAGCTGACTCACCTTTGCAGGTAGAACCAGGAGCAAGAGGAAGCTGATGCAGCAGGGCATCTTTTCCATGCAGCTGTCTTGTTTAAGCAATATCTGCTCTTGGATCTGAGTACAGGAAGCAGTGAACGGGTAGGGATAGGCGCCAATTGCTTCTCCCTATATCTTGCAGGGCTGGTTCCAGGTTCCTGGAGCACCTTGGCCTCTCTCCTTTCTCCTCAGATCATGTATATTCCCATTGATCCTACCCATTTATATTATAACAAATTGAAACAATAGTACAGCGCAATATGGTCAAACACAGACTTTGCTAGTTGTTTTGCCCCCAATCTCTTTTTTTCCTCCTTTTTCTAACTTTATTACATTTTTGAAATTTACAAAAATAATAATGAAAAGAATAAATTGATCCTAAATTACATATTCTAAGATAAGAAAGTAATAATAATACAAAATACATAGTAAAGATGTATAAAGATCTGGGATAAATAGGAAAACAACGAATAAGAAAATAATACAAGAAAAAATATTGATAAAAAGAAAAGAAAGAAAAAACAGTAAAAAATCAAAACAAAACAATTTTTTTGTCAAAACCAACATTTTTTAAGGAGTACAAACCATAACTTAAATATTCTATACACAAAATCCTAAAAAGAAATTACCTTCGTACTGGCTTGAGTCCCTTATAATTTTGTTGACTTTCCTTTATCTCTTTGTGGTTTCAACTCAACTATTAGATTTAAATTATCTATATTTAATTGTTTGTCCAGACAGGATGAAAAAATTTCCTTTTCTGTGAAATTAATCTAAACATAGCCAAGGGTTGTTACTGGAACCATGTTTTATTAGGTAATTTTTAAAGCAACCCCATTCTTTTTTAACCTTGTCTCCTGAATGGTTTCTTGTTGACTCTCATTTTGGCGAGTTCCAAGTACAGTCATACCTCGGGTTACAGCCGCTTCAGGTTGTGTTTTTTCGGGTTGCTGACTGCCGAAATCCAGAAGTACCAGAACGGGTTACTTCTGGGTTTCAGTGGTCGTGCATGCGCAGAAGCGCCGAATCGCAACCTGCGTGTGCTCAGACAAGCAGCTGCGGGTTGCGAACGTGCACCCCGCACGGACCATGTTCGCAACCCGAGCGTCCACTGTACTCGCACAGCTTTAACTGCCGTTCATCTTTTGTTGGTGTTGACTCGTTTTTCCAAGATTTTGCTATTAAAATTCTGGCTGCTGTTATGGCGTAGAGAAACACTCTTTTACCTTCGTTTGGGATGCTTATTGTTAAAATGCCTAATAAGTGATAAGCTCAGTCTGTAAAGCATGGGACTCTTCATCTCACAGCTGTGAGTTTGAGACCCACACTGGGCAAAAAGATTCCTGCATTGCAGAGGGTTGGACTAGATGACCGTCGTGGTCCCATCCAATTCCACCATTCTGTGAATTTTTTTCATATGCTCACCTTCAGCAAACCTCAGTGTTCAGCACCTCCTCTCACTGGACATGCATAAAAAAAATGGATGTTTTGATCTTACCGCTTTTCTCTTCTGTTCCTTTTGCCACCAGCTACATTCGAACCCTTTCTCTAAACTTTGTTCCCAGAATTTGCAATATCCTCTGGCCGTTGCAGGCTTGATGGCGTTAATAACCTATCTGTGTATATAAGGATCGCTCCAATTTACCAGCACTTTCAGAGGCCTCGTTTATTCGGCAAGCGCTCCTCATCCTGCACTTCTGAGATAGCGTGTTCTCCTTCATGGAGAGCACGTGTTGCGGTGGGGGCCGCCAGGACACCCCAAAGTTGTGGGGCGGGCTAATTGACCATTGGCCACTGATGCGATTGGGCTTCCCTTGTTGTTGGGAAGAAGTTAATGTTGCCATTTGTTGATTGACAGCCAGAAATGCTAAAACTCCTTGCACGAGGCTAGGACTTCCTCTTTTCGCCTGTGCATTGGATTGCCCATCCCCCCCTCCCTAGAATTAGGGTTGTTCGCTTGACCTTGCTATGCCTGTCATGGGGTCGTCTGCTCTTGGGGCAGGGGCCCGGTAGGAATTTTGTCCATCTGGCTTATTGGCTGGGGCCATTTGGTTTTCGCCTACTGCATAGCAAATCATCACAACTTGTAAGGTTGCGGTTAGGCATTGGTTTATGGTTTGGTTGGTTGAGGGGCATGGATTGGCTGTGCCTGCCCCTCTAATGCTGCTGCTGCAAGCGATTCCGTTAAAGGAATCGGGGGCTATCTATTGCTTGTCCACCCTGTCAAGGGGGCTCGGGCCACTGCAAGAGCTCTTGGCTGCATTTGGGGTGGGCTGAGGGCAGGTTCCCTGCTCCGTCACTACCCCCAAGTATATTCCCCTTTTCTGACTTTCGCAGGTGTGTGGAATGTCAGTCTGTCCCCCATGGTGGGGGCAGATAGTCGCAACCAATGCCTAAGCAACCACTCACATGTTTGTATTTTAATAAAGTTGTGGCCAAAATTATGCCAAAAACCTTAAACAATAATTCTGTGTGATGTGTGAGTTATTGGGGTGGCCCTGGGGACCTCGACACACAAATTGTGAGGATTTTCTACACATTGTAAGGACAGGCTAAAGGAAAGGCATGAAATACGGCTGCCATACGTTTGGATTCCCCCGGTATTTCAAAGGTGGAATTGACGTCCGCGGGGGAATTTCTGAAAGGTGGCGCTTTGTCCTGGATCTTAGGCAAATCCATTATAAAAATCACATTTTTTTATGGCGTTTTTGTAAAATAAAAGCTCGACAACCTTGGGCTTTTTCTTTAAAAAGCTCCTCCTGTCCCCCCCGTTCCTCCACCAGTGGAAGCAGGGAAGGGAAGATCTCCCAGGGTGGGAGGCTGGGAGGGTTCACCTGTTTCTGTGTGGGACAAGAGTTAAGATCTACCTGTGAGAGAGGACTTGGCATTCTTCTTTAGCTCTTTTTCTGTTTCTGTTTTCATTAGTTTGTTTTTTATTGTAATGTATTATAAAAGGTAAAAAGGTAAAGGACCCTGGATGGCTAAGCCCAGTCAAAGGCAAGTATAGGGTTGCGGCACTCATCTCACTTTCAGGCCAAGGGAGCCGGTGTTTGTCCACAGACAGCTTTCTGGGTCATGCGGCCAGCATGACTAAGCCGCTTCTGGCTTAATGGGACACTGTGACGGAAACCAGAGTGCACGGAAACACTGTTTACCTTCCCGTCGCAGTTGTATCTATTTATCTACTTGCACTGGTATGCTTTCAAACTGCAAGGTTGGCAGGAGCTGGGGCAGAGCAACGGGAGCTCACCCCGTCACGAGGATTCAAACCACTGACCTTCCGATCAGCAAGCCCAAGAGGCTCAGTGGTTTAGACCACAGTGCCACCTGCTCCCATGTAATGTATTATGAAAGATCTTAATAAAATATTATTGGGGAGGGGGACCACCTGTTGCCATAGTCTTCTTCTTTGGCAATAACTCATAGCCGAGTAAGATTGTCTTCTACGAACACGGTCTTAACCAGTCATAGGCAAACTCGGCCCTCCAGATGTTTTGGGACTATAACTCCCATCATCACTAGCTAACAGGACCAGTGGTCAGGGATGGTGGGAATTGTAGTCTCAAAACATCTGGAGGGCCGAGTTTGCCTATGCCTGGTCTTAACAGTGACTGTGGAGGCCAATTCTGGATCCACACATCCTTCCACAGTGGGGACATAGGTTTCCGGATGGGAGTTGATCACAGGGTTGCCATGGTATTGCTTACGCAGATAGGAGCATGTTTTTGGTAACCAATGAAAGTGATCACGGTGCTGATCACATTGTGTTCACGTGACGCTTTGTAGAGGAGCCATAGAAATATGAGCCCTGTGACTTGGAATGGTGTGCTTTGGTGCTTTAACACATCTGTTCCTCTCTTGAAATAAACTTTTCACAACTTTCCATGCCAGCAGTGATTTATTGGTATTTTTGAGTCTGCCCAAGAACTTTGCTACAACTTCATGACAGAGTGTGGCTTTCTGCTGCTCTTTGAATCCAACAATGTGCTTATACATCCCCTCTTGGGATGTGAATGCTGTATATACCATTAAGACACCAGTCTTCACTGTGCCTCACTGTCCGAAAGGAAACTCAGACCCTTTTAAGTGCACCTGAAACCCCCCCAAACCTTGCACCGCTCGGACACTGGGGTGCTGTGTAGCAGTATTCAGGCCCCAGAATATTTGGCATAGCATTATTGCATTAGTTTTTGGGGTGGGGAGAATATGCCCTCCATGAATTACAGTGATCTTGGGAGATGAGTGGGCAGATTTGAAGCATCTGTGGGCAGTGGGTGGATGTGTTTTAAAATATGAGGTAGCTGAGAGTCCTGCCCCCCTTCTTTATTTAGCTACACAAAAGCCTTATCACTACTTTGTGGCAACTCAGCTCCTCTGGCCATGTTGTTGAGCTGGTTTCGGGGACAGCTCTACCCCCAATAATACCCCTGGGAATTATGCTATGGCATATTGTGGTACCACTCCAAGGAGAATTCTGCCCCAGAAATGTGGCTGGAGCGCCCACACAGCTGCTTGAAGTTGTGCCAAGGCTGCATCTTCTTCTCTGGTAGAATAACCTCAGCCATTTTGTAGGTCAAAGCACGAGCCTTTCTCCTCAAATTCTTAAAATTTGCCCTTCCCAACTCCCGAAAATATCTCTTCCACAAGGGACAAATAGTTCTCCAAATGGAGACAGGATGTTCAGCCCATATGGAATGGTCAGATAAAATATGGAAAGCTGGCAACCCCCAAAGGATGGAATAGTTCATGTTTGTTCTCTGTGGCACGCTGACATTTTATACCTGCTATAAATCTAAGATGCTGCCACTTTTCTGACAAGTTATCTGTCGGTACCAGAGAGGAACAAGGCTTAAACAGAGAAAGGCTACAGAGAAACAAGGCAAAAGCATTTTGAGTATGTGTGCGAAATTGCGTAAAATGGGGAGTTGCTTGAATCAGTTCAACTGAGAGCTGTCTCTCCAGCTCGCATGCATGAGAATAAATGTAAAATAATGGGGAATACAGACTCCCCGTCAATGATTTACCTTTGAGCAGCTTCTGTCCTCGAATCCTTTTCTCCTCAGACCAGCTAGGAATGTTTTGAGCAGGGGGAAAAGTACTTGACAAGTAAGGCTGTGGGGAGGTGGGAGGGATGCCTTATTTATTACTACTACTATTATTATTATTATGACTATTACTGTTGTCAGCCCTTCTTTCATGCCTTTCCTATGTGACTTCATGTTTAACATCATGCACACTGATTTCTGTATCTCCCCTACCATGCTTCACTTACGTTTATGCATGCTACTTGCTTTGGGTTGGGGTTTTTTTCTCTCTCTTGCATGAAAAAGTTTACATCTTCAATAAAAATGCGGCTTTTTCAATAAAAACCACACGGCATCCTGTCATGTATATTTTGGCACTGAGGTCGCTCAGTTGAACATCATGAAAATGGCAAGAAGGAGAAGGGGGAGGGCGAGTATTTTGAGCATAGAAAAGAGCGGGAAAGAATTCTGGTCGCCCTTCACGGCACGGGTTCTTGTGGCCTTCAGCGTTCGGTCCCACTGCGTCAAGATGGCGTCTCTGGCTCCGTCCCACTTCCCTGGTCCTGACAAACGAAACTGATATGGACTGCAGGGGCCAAAATAGACCTGCAGAGCCAACTTGGGATCCGTCAGGAAGAGGACTGGAATGTTGGGCTTCACACCAATACTGGAGGCGAGTTCATCCATGTAGACAACGTAATCTGTTTGTATGGTATCGCTCTGGCCGTACCTGAAAGGAAAGGAAAGGGGACATTTTGTAGATGTATTTCTAAGCAGAGCAAGAAAAAGGCAGAAGAAAACTGTCAGGAAACTTTATTCCCATGTGGCTAAATTGTGCCATCTAGAACGTCTGGGATTTTACACACCCTGAAATGAACCCAATCCTTTGCTTCTGAATAAGCAGAAGTGAAGCTCATTGAAAGAACTCTGCGTCTAGATGGAATTGACTAACTCTTTTGACATGTGCATGCAAAATCTTTTAGGAGATAATTTTTTCATAATTTTCTGATTGGCCGTGGATACCACTGATCCGATGGCGTAGAGTTTGTGACTGGGGCAAAAATCCAGCATAGCTAAATGGAAGCATCAAAGCCAACAAAACCAAACAACATATTAATTGTAAAAACACAGCAGAGGCCTAAAACACTCGACAACAGTGAGTATCCCTCATCCCCTTAAAAAGCTCTGCTACCTGGGGTTATGGAGCTCCACAGCACAGGGGCCACTGTTGAAAAGTCCCTCTCCTTTGTGGCTGTTGAGGGCTTCTCCACACTTTCCCTTCCTCTGCTCTTTCCAGGCAAGGCCCACAATTTAAAGTTCCATGTCTAAGAACCCTTTTCTCTTTTGCTCCAGAGCTTTCCCCATGAAAACCCACTCTTTAAAGCTCAATTGGAGCAAAAGTCAGTCTGCGGAAAACCGCAATTGCTGTTTGCTCCGACTGAGCTCTAAAGAGCAGTTTTTTGCCAGGGGGAAGCAGTAGGACAGGTGTGGGTGAGCCCTTCACCTTGCATAGAGTTAGGACAGCTGGTCCTTCAGGGTTGATGCTTTCAATATTTCCAAGAACGTTTTTTGTGATCTGCATGGAGGACCAGCTGGGGCAACTGTAGCATATATACATGTGGACGACGGACCGATTGAAGCATATTGTAAATTTTAGCACAGAATCTTCAAACCACCTGATTGCAGGAAATCGAAAAATTGTTCAAAATGCAGGAAGATTGAGGAGTTTCCTCCTAGGTGAGCAGAAAACTAAAAACCAAAAAAAAAATAATCTAATATGTGTACTTAAAACTCACCATTTGAGCTTTTTCCCCATTTTCTCATCTATGTCATCCATCATGCTGCTCTGTGGAGGCAGCTTACATAAACCTGAAAAATAAGAAAGAACTAATGATCCCTTGAAACTCATTTTCCCAAACGCATAACAAACATATGCACAAAAACACACCAATGTGCATGCAATCTGGAATACCCAGGTGAAGACGCATAATAGGTTACTGGAAGATAGGAAGCAGCCTTATACTGAATCAGTCTATTTTTTTGTAGGAAGGGGGAGTTAAATGCAGACTTTTGCGGGGTGGGAGGACTGTTAAATGTCCCTTCTCAGCGCTGCATGACCAAATTGGTTTGTTGGCTACTTTTAACTTTAAACAAGCAAATAAACATGGGAGATCTTGAACATGGATCTCCAGTTTAAACCCTCAGTTTAGGTCAGCTTCCTATGTTCATATTAAGATGGGAGATAGCGACTTGTTTATTGCCACCTAGTATGTTAACAGAAGAGGGACGCGGGTGGCGCTGTGGGTTAAACCACAGAGCCTAGGACTTGCCAATCGGTTCGAATCCCTGTGACGGAGTGAGCTCCCGTTGCTCAGTCCCTGCTCCTGCCAACCTAGCAGGTTGAAGCACGTCAAAGTGAAAGTAGATAAATAGGTACCACTCCGGCAGGAAGGTAAACGGCATTTCCATGCGCTACTCTGGTTCGCCAGAAGTGGCTTAGTCATGCTGGCCACATGACCTGTACACCGGCTCCCTCAGCCAATAAAGTGAGATGAGTGCCGCAACCCCAGAATTAGCCACGACTGGACCTAATGGTCAGGGGTCCCTTTACCTTTACCTATGTTAACAGAAACATTGAGATTTGAGCCAGGGGCTTCCAGCTCACAGGTCCGTTACTTAGCCATGATGCCATGCTCACCTTTAAACACTCTCACGGCCCACCGGGCCTGAAGGTCTGCAGTTGGGATAGCTGCCCCAAGGGACTGGACTAAGCCAATAACCGCCAGGGTGGGTTTTTCCAGCAGAGGAGGGACAATGCTTTTGTACAAGGTGACTTGGTCATTCCTGCACTTGATGATGGACTCGTCCTCCATGAATGGGTAGGCAAAGCTGTAGCCCGTTGCAAAAATGACATAGTCAAGGCCTTCCTGTGCAGTGCCATCTTGAAATATCGCAGACGTTTCCCTGAACTCCTTCACATTTGGCTTAACAACCACGGTTCCGCATGCGATGCGGCTCGGGAGGTCATCGTTGAAGACAGGCTCCTTGCGCGAGGTTCTGGGGTAGGGAGAGAAGAAGAAGAAGAGGAGGAGGATTTGATATCCCACTTTATCACTAAGGAGACCCTAAGGAGTCTCAAAGTGGCTCACAATCTCCTTTCCCTTCCTCCCCCACAACAAACACTCTGTGAGGTGAGTGAGGCTGAGAAGAAGAGGAGGAGGAGGAGGAGGAGGAGGAGTTTGGATTTGATATCCTGCTTTATCACTACCCGAAGGAGTCTCAAAGCGGCTAACATTCTCCTTTCCCTTCCTCCCCCACAACAAACACTCTGTGAGGTGAGTGGGGCTGAGAGACTTCAGAGAAGTGTGACTAGCCCAAGGTCACCCAGCAGATGCATGTGGAGGAGTGGGGAATCGAACCCGGTTCACCAGATTACGAGTCCACCGCTCTTAACCACTACACCACACTGGAGAGAGTCAGAAACCAGAGCCAGGGCTGTAGGCTATCTCCTGGAAAGTGACATTTTCCACTGTGAGAGAGACAGGCATTGTGCTCCTCCATCATCCCATGGAAGATGGCCTTTTAGTGCTCCCAGAAGTCAGCTCCACCTTTTGGGAGGGGCTGCTTTGTGGGCAGGAATCCCGGTCCAGACAGTGACCCAGGAGTGGGCGGAGGAATGCTGCCCACGTCAGCAGGATCCCCAGCCATGTCACGCCCCCGGCCAACCAATTGGGTTTGCTTGGGGGTGTGGCTACACCTGTTTAAATTGTGGCACGGGACATATAATTCACACAGAAACACATCATTGCTTGTTTTAACTCCCCTGTGGGAACAACTCAGAGGCTGCGAAAGAAGAAAGGTTAACAACACAAACAATTAGAAGAACCATTGGAAGTGACTATGAAAAGCAGTAGAAGTATGAGATGATCAGAACCCTCCGAACTTGAAGCATGGGAAGTCCATATAATTTATAATTTGGTAGAATATTCGGATTATTTTATATGCATATGTATAATTTGGAATCTTTAATGTGATTTGATTGGATTGCTAAAGTGGAAAATTTAATAAAAATGAATTTGAAAAAATAAATAAATTGTGGCACGGCCAGGGAAGCAGCCTCCTTTTGCCTCCATTCGTTGTTCCTCCGCCTGCCCGCTCCACATTAAGGGTATCCCAATAAAGGGATCCAGGGGTGTGGTTCCTGTCCAAAGCCTGGGCGTGGGCCATGCCACATCCCCAACGGTGACCTGGGGGTGCTCAATTGATGTACACCATAGAGCTCCCCCTTCCGGTGGTTGACCCGTAGGAGATTTCCTGCAGTCAGGCAGGAGTCAGGATTTAGTCTTGCTTCACCCAATTGCCTAAGCCAAACCGCTCACATCTGTAACCCATAAAGTTGTGGCCTAATTCATCCCATTAACCAATACACTTGTGTTTGTGCATTTATTTTGGGGGGAACTAGGGGGTCCGGGGCCTTGCCACACAAGCTCTCCTTCTCCCATTAAAAAGTGATCTTTTTACTTTTAAAGAGGGGCTTAAAAGCAAAATCCAGACAGGCTCTCTTCTCCCCCAACCGAGGTTAAGAAGCCATCTGACCTGGAAATGAGTGCTTGGTGGTTGTGGAAAGGAGTGGAGTGCAACTGACCTCATGGCACCCTGGAAAATTTCTGTTTTGTCCAGAGAATAGGTAGGTACTGAAGAAATCAAGCATCTTTTGCAATTTGCCTACCCTTTAGGTAGGTTTCTGACTTTGCTATGGACTTCGGTCTGTCGCCACAAGGGGCATGGTCAGAATTTTTCCCAATTGGCAATTTGCAGCCATTTGGTTTTTCGCCTACCTCGTAGCAACTCGTCACAACTCCTCGGCATTGGCGGTTAGGCATTGGTAAGAAGGAGTTAAGAGGATGTGTGGGGTGGGAGGAACGCCATCACCTCCCCCCAGAGAACAAAGGGTGGTCCGATAAAGGACTCCGGGGGGCGTGACCCTGTCCGAAGCCTATGGAGGTGTGGGCCTAAGGCACACCCCGAGCGGTGACCCGGGGGAGCTCCTAGTTGACGTGCCTCAGCAGGAGACTCCCCCTCTATGGTGTTAACCCTTCTCGTGTCTCCAGCAAATGGGCTGGAGCCGGATAGTCGATAGGACCAATGCCTAAGCCAATGCCTCTCATTCCTGAATTCAATAAAGTTGTGGCCTAATTCGCCCATTTAACCTTAAATTCTGGTGTCTGGTGTCTTTATTTATCCTTGGTGGGGGGCGGGAACTCGCCACACAATTTGGCTGCAGTTTATTCCTACATCTGTGCTGTGGCTCATGCAAAAGGCCCAAGAACTAATGCGGCAGAATCCTACTCTTCTGTCTTGGGATAACCTTGGAGCAGGTCCCAGCCACCCAGAAAGCATTCCTAAAATCACTCGGGGTTTTTGCATAGGGTCAAAACAAGTTCTGAGAAAAACAAAAACAGTGGTCCTCTAGCAGTTGGAGATTGAAGTGAGCTTTGTGGCTGATTTGAACTATGTTGGTTTGTTGGGATTTGGCAAGTCAGTCTTAAGACATTGCTTGTAGGGTATGTTTTCCTGGTTGGGTTCTGGCCAAGATGATTTTTCTTCTTCTTTAGAAGTTTCTGTGAGCACTGGCTATTCTCTTCTAATCTCAAAGTTTGTATAAAGTTAACAGCATGTACAAATCAAATTCACTTCAGAAGAGCATTTGAAATATTTTGCAGTTCTGCCACACCTCTTACTTGGCTATTTACACAAGTAAAATAATTCTTAATGTCTTTCCAGGAAAAGATAAGTGTTTGTTGCTTGATCTCATAAATGTTCTTGGCTAGAATATTGGCTGAATATTTCGTTATATAATTGTTTTGTTAACAACTATATTTTTTCTAGAGGGTATGAAGGTTATAATTGCCCGTAACATAAAACCTAGGTTCCGCCTGCCCCGCCCCCCCCCCCCCATGTCCCTTCATGGTTTCTGATTTGGCAGACCTTTGTCTTGCTTTATAATTTTTATTTTCATTGAATGGTTATGTAATCAAGTTTTCAAGAATACAGGTGACAAGCCTCCAGCCAGAGTCAAAGCGGCCTCTGGGCATCAAAAGTTTTTAACGGCACAAAATACATCAACTTTGCTGAGTTGTTTTCTTATGGGTACATCTTTTTCTGCACCAATCATCTGCTGCTGCAGTTTTGCACTTATAATGCAGTTTTAATTAATGTACTGTTATAAGGGGGGGCAAGACTCCCCTAAAACTCTCAAGAGATAAACAGCAGAATGACTCAGCCATTAACCCAGGCTTCCTCAACCTCGGCCCTCCAGATGTTTTTGGCCTACAACTCCCATGATCCCTAGCTAGCAGGACCAGTGGTCAGGGATGATGGGAATTGTAGTCTCAAAACATCTGGAGGGGCAAGTTTGAGGAAGCCTGCATTAACCCATTAAGAATGCCATTAACAGAGACTCTCTGGGCTAGCCAGAAAATGGGAAAGCCCTTCCCCGAGGTGAGAGATAGTTAGCAGAGACAAAAGGCCAGAGTTTCGGGATGGATGGATGGACAGAATTGCAGTGGGGGATGAGGTAAGTGAACAGGAAGAAAAGGTGTCGCTTTTGCAGTCTGTTTTATGATGTTTGGAGTCTCTTGGAATCTGAGGCTGCAGCAATGGAACAGGACCCTCTTGGGATGTGAATGTGTTGAACTCTCTCCAACTAGACACAAGCTGTATATGTGTGTGTGTGTGTGTGTGTGTGTGTGTGTGTGTGTGTGTGTGTAAATAAGCCATATATCATAAAGACACTACAGACTCCACTGTGCCACATTGTTGGGCACAACCAATGCACTTCAGAGAAAAAGTTACAGATAAGCCACATCCCTCAAAAACCGCTCTCCTCAGCTGCCTTTCTCTTTGATGGATGAAAAGAAACAGATTGACAGCTGGGGGAAGATTCTGAACAAAACAATGGGTAGCGAATAAAGAGTTTTCCCCGCCTCTTCCAGTTCCTCCACTCAACCTGAAGCTACAAACACCTCCTTTAGAAGACATCCCTCAGGGACACACAGCCACAAAGCTGTGTGTAACTAGCCGCTCTGGTTTAATATGATTCTGCTTAGCAGGGTTGTTGTAAAGAGATTATCACAAGATCCTGTATGTGAAGTGCTTTGCATGTTCAAAAGCGGCATTCAAATGCTCCAGGTCATTTCATCTGCCCACCAACATGGGGTTTGGCACCAAAGGGTTTGTGTTTTCAAAGCTAATCAACCTACAACCTCTTTAGTTTCCAATATTACCTATTAAGTGGCATCAGGCCATAATTCTCATGTTTGAACCATCTGTTCATTTGCTTCACATACAACCAGTCACTGATGGCTGTTGGGAGGGTGTTCTTGAGGAAGGTTTCAAAGCGACTGATGACCACCATGTCCCAGGGATAGCCATTGTCCCAAACACGACTCATGACCCAGGATCCACTTCGAGAGCTGAGATAAACCTTTAAAAACAGGTAAGAGACAAGGCGAGAGACACATGGAAAAGAGGCTCACGTTACCAAACATCATTCTTGTGTAACTTCTTCCTCACTCCATTCAACGGAGCTTGCACATGAGCGAGCTCAGATGATTGCATCCTGGTAAAGTGTGCCCAAAGGTTGCAAAATGATTGCAACAGAAGTCTCCAAAGACTATTCTATTTCAGTGATCTAGCATGAGCATATTTTGCCGGTTTCAAGAGACGGATGGTGGTATAAACCACACATGGAAAATCTGTGCTCTTTCACTTGTTTTGGGACTCCAACTCCCCTCTGGGCCTAACCATCATGGACAGTGGTCGGGAATCATGGGGATTTAGTCCAACAGTATCTGAATGGCATCAAGCTGGCTAACTCAGTAGGCAATACTGGGCTAGACACACATAGTCTGGCCAGATATAAGATAGCTTCCTAAGTTCCTTCCTATAAAGGTAAAGGGACCCCTGACCATTAGGTCCAGTCGTGACCGACTCTGGGGTTGCAGCGCTCATCTCGCTTTATTGGCTGAGGGAGCTGGCGTACAGCTTCTTAGTCACGTGGCCAAGCATGACTAAGCCACTTCTGGCGAACCAGAGCAGCGCACGGAAATACCGTTTACCTTCCCGCTGGAGCGGTACCTATTTATCTACTTGCACTTTGACATGCTTTTGAACTGCTAGGTTGGCAGGAGCAGGGACCAAGCAACGGGAGTTCACTCTGTCGTGAGGATTCAAACCTCCAACCTTCCGATCGGCAAGTCCTAGGCTCTGTGGTTTAACCCACAGTGCCACCCGCATCTATTCCCCCACCTGCTCTACAGTTCTGTAGTGACAATCTGATCTTCATTTGAGCACCCCCCTAAAACTCTTCTGCAGCTTCCCCTTCCCTCCGGAGCAGACTTGGAGAGGGGAGGAAAGGCCCATGGCTCAAAAGTAGAACCTGACAGGATGCTCCACTGGGTACAAGCTTCCGTTCAGGAATCTGGGATGTGGAACCTGTGGCTTTTCAGATCATCTCACTCTACAGCTTCAATCATGCCTGGCCATTGGCCATGTTGACTAGGGCTGAGGGAAGTTGGAAGTGCAACGGCATCTAGAGCGCCACGAGTTTCCCATCTCTGTTTCAAACATTCGTTTCGGCATGAATTTATAACCTTTCAGTCTGACAGGGAATAGATATAAGGAACTGCCTTACCTTGAGCCAAAGCAAACCCAGTACAGGGGTACCTCGGGTTAAGTACTTAATTCGTTCCGGAGGTCCGTTCTTAACCTGAAACTGTTCTTAACCTGAGGTACCACATTAGCTAATGGGGCCTCCTTCTGCTGCCGCCACCGCGTGATTTCTGTTCTCACCCTGAAGCAAAGTTCTTAACCGGAGGTCTGTAACCTGAAGCGTATGTAACCTGAAGCATATGTAACCCGAGGTACCACTGTATTGCCTACATTGCCCCAATCTTTCCAGTGCTTCCTGAGATCTCTTAAAGCTGGAGGTGCTGGGGATGGCACTCCAGACCTTAGGCACCTGCATAGGTAAAAAAGGTAAAGGACCCCTGGACGGTTAAGTCCAGTCAAAGGCGACTCTGGGGTTGCAGCACTCATCTCACTTTCAGGCTGAGGGAGCCAGCGTTTGTCCACAGACAGCTTTCCGGGTCATGTGGCCAGCATGACTAAACCGCTTCTGGCGCAACAGGACACCATGACGGAAACAAGAGTGCACAGAAATGCCATTTACCTTCCCGCCGCAGTGGTACCTATTTATCTACTTGCACTGATGTGCTTTTGAACTGCTAGGTTGGCAGAAGCTGGGACAGAGCAACAAGAGCTCATCCCATCATGGGGATTCGAACCGCCGACCTTCTGATCGGCAAGCCGATCAGTGGTTTAGACCACAGCGCCACCAGGGTCCTGCATGCAAGACATAGGAGTCATCCCTTCCTTATAACCCCACATTCCCCACCCCACTAATTAGCGCCTCCACAGCAGCCAAAACTTAAGCATTTCCAAGTCCATTAGACTCAAATGGGGCACTTAATATCTCTCCCACTGAAATCGACGGGACTTAAAAGTGCTTACCCTTTGGCTGCCGATTATTAAGCAGAATGAGACCACCCAAGTGCTGTGGGAGAAGGTACCTGCGAGGCTGTGGCACTCAGCTCCACAGCAATGTCACAGCCAGAATTCCCAAGGCCAATCACCAGGACTTTCTTCCCCTTGAACTTTTCGGGTCCCTTGTAATCCCGGCTGTGGAAAACTCTGCCCTTGAACTTCTCTATTCCTATGCAGAAAAGTGGAAAACGAATAAATGTTTTAAGGAAACAAAGACTTACAAATGCATCTTGTTGGCATTAGGGCACTGTGAACTGCAAAACTTGATTATCTGGGCTCTTGATGACTTTGGTAGCACAACTGTTAATTTCACAAGTCCTCAGACAATTATTCAAACCCTGCAAACTGATCTCGTAATAAACTCTAGGCCAGGCATAGGCAAACTCGGGCCCTCCAGATGTTTGGGACCACAATTCCCATCATCCCTAGCTAACAGGACCAGTGGTCAGGGATGATGGGAATTGTAGTCCCAAACATCTGGAGGGTCAGAGTTTGCCTATGCCAGCTCTAGGCTGTATTTGTTTCGCCCTTGTCATTAGCCTAATTTTAATCCTTCTCAGTGACTGACACTCTTTCCATTTTATTGTGGTGGTGATGGGTGTGTAGCCAGACTTGGACATTTGGGTACCTGAGGCGGGAAATCTGAATCAGTGCCATTGCTGTGGTAAAATATAGTAACAAACAAAACTGGCCCCCTTGAATGTGCTGCATGAAGTGACCGCTTCATTGCCCCTCACCCTTAGCCCAGAGGAACCTTCAACAATGGCTGAAGTCAACCTGAAGTCAACTGGACTTTAGCTCTATCCTCCACCGAAAGACAGTATAAGGCATAGAGGCCTCTCACACCACAGCAGTTCGTGAACTGGAGCTCACATTATGTTTAATCATATATATTTTTGTATCGTCACTTACCAGGAAAGCTATTCTTTGGAATATTCGGATAGACATGATGTCCGGAGCAAATCATAACAGCATCAAATACGACTGATTCCACCTTCCCATCCTTTTCTATTACGACTTCCCATTGGCCAGTAACAGGGTAATCCGGGCGTTTCCTAATTTTACTCACAAGAGTCTTTAAGGAAATGTTCAAGAAAGTGTATCAGCGTGGTTTCGGCTTCAAAGATAGACATAATTAAGTCGTGAGTCCAGGGTCTGATTTACCAGAAAGGGCTGTGTCAGGCAGGGCTTGTCTAAATGTCACCTGATTGGAGTAAGGAATTTGACAAAAGAATCCTGCATCAGGATCCACACTCTCTTCCTAGTCCTGCGCAAGCTAAAATGCAACCCCCACTTTGGCAGAAAGGCCAAAAGCTAGCAGGTCAGAGGAGAAGAGCGCACAGACACAAAAGTTTAGCCCATGGCAACCATGTTGATGGATTACGGGCTGAACTTGCTCTTTCTGCCTCCACACACGAAACTTCTGGAACCATGTAAACACAGCTTCCTGTGGAGAGATTGCTTCAATCTTCAGATATTTCTAATTTGGGTGCTGCCGGTCTGTAGGTCTGCTGCTTCTAAATTAACCTCAATTTAGGCCTTTCCTGTTGGAATGTTCAGGGAGGCAGGAGAGGATACATTGTTTGATTACAGCCTTTCCAACTTGTGTTAACAAGTTCACAATTTAGCAGAGTAACATTCCCCTTTTTAAACTCACAACGGATGTGTTTGCCCAGGCTTCCTAAAGCCTCTATAATAACTGTTCTGGTATTTTCCCCTTATTCCCTCAAAAAAGATAAGACATGACACAGTCTTCTATAGAAGTACACAAAGAGTTTACTCACATTCTGTTCACAATCGGATCCCAGAAGGCAGACTTAGCTTAGAAAAGTAACATACACCTGGAAACTATCTCATAAGGAGACAGTCACTTTGTCCTCTCTTGGCTGGAGGCCAAGAGAGCATCTTTGGCTAAGCAGATGTTGCTTCTTTGACAAAAGTAGTCACACAGAGAGAGATGGCTGTCCTGCCCTGTGCTTTTGTCGTTACCTGCACAGGTGAGGCCACACCCACCTCTAGTCACATGCAGAGGAAGTCTGTCCCAGCCCAGCCCAGAAGGAAACAGGAAGTTTACCTGCTGGCTGGACAAACCTTCCTGCCCATGTGTAAACATGTTCACTCTAGGAAGGTTGTATTTGACTGCTCTTGTGTTTCACATCCCACATTTCCTCCATGCTTTCCAGGCACAGCCTGCACTTTAAAGCTCCATGTCCTAGCGTGCTTTTCCCTTTCCCACAAAAACCTGCTCTTTATTGCTGAATTGGAGCAAACGACAAACTGTGGAAAAACCCACATTGCCATTGGTTGCACTACAGATTTAATGTGCTCCAGGGCAGAAAAGAAAAAAGAAAGAATATTCCAACATGGAGTTTTAAAGCATGTGTCTGCAAAGAGCAAAAGCTTACGTGTGGATAAGCCCTTAGTTAGCAGTTGTCCCATCGAGCTCTGCTTTTCAGCACCCTGGACCTGAAGAAGAGATCCCAGATCATGGGTGCTGACATTTTCAAATGCTCTGGAGGAGCTGTTTGCATTCTTGCAAAGTGATTTGCCCTGCTGGGGCCAATTCTTGTATCCACAGATAATTGTCATGGCACACAAGCCCCACGCATACCCACAATCTCCCGTCAGTTCGATTGCAATTTCTTACCTTAAACTTTATGTATTTGACAAGATTGAAGTGTTTGGCATACAACTGGATATATTCTTGAAGCTTGGAGTTGTGCATGTAATTTGGGAATTCCTCTGGGAAAGGGAAGTCTGGAAAGCACATCATTTCTTTGCAAGAGTTGGTGAACACAGAGTGGTAAATACTGGCTCTGCCTTCCTCTGCAGACTCCTAATGGGGAAGCCAAGGCAAAGGATGAACAATAGAAAATAAGCACAGCTTCAGGAAGTGAAAATCCTTACAGTTAATGTGCAACTGGGATGTTACATGCCCAACTTTCCTTCCAATACAATACAGTGGATTTCTCATTAGAAGGTGAAGGTACTAATGCTATTCTAGGCTGCATCAACAGATGTTGTGAATCACCCTGAGATCTACGGATGAACAGCAATACATAAATTTAATATATAAAATATATAAAAATAAAGTATGGTGGCCAGATCAAGGAAAGTAACAGTACCACTCAATTCTGCCTTGGTCAGACCACACCTGGAATAAAATAAAGGTAAAGGACCCCTGACAGTTAAGTCCAGTCACGAATAACTCTGGTGTTGCAGCGCTCATTTCACTTTACTGGCCAAGGGAGCTGGCTTAGTGGGGATTCGAACCGCCGACCTTCCTATCGGCAAACCCTAGGCTCAGTGGTTTAGATCACAGCACCACCCTGGAATACTGTGTCCAATTCTGGGCACCACAATTTAAGAAGGATGTTGACGAGCCAGAATGTGTGCAGAGGAGGGCAACCGAGATGACCAAGGTTCTGGAAATCAAGCCTTATTTGAAATGGCTAAGGAAGTTGAGTATGTTTAGCCTGGGAAACAGGAGACTAAGAGGAGATATGACAGCCATCGTCAAATATCTAAAGCGCTGTCCTTTTGGAAGATAGAGAAAGCTTGTTTTCTCCTCCTCCAGTGGGTAAGACCAATGGCTTCAAGTTATAAGATAGGAGATTCCGACTAAACATCAGGAATAACTTTCTGATAGGAAGAAGAAGAAGAGTTTGTATTTGATATCCCGCTTTATCACTACCCTAAGGAGTCTCCAAGCGGCTAACATTCTCCTTTCCCTTCCTCCCCCACAACAAACACTCTGTGAGGTGAGTGGGACTGAGAGACTTCAGAGAAGTGTGACTGGCCCAAGGTCACCCAGCAGTTGCATGCAGAGGAGCGGGGAAGCGAATCCGGTTCACCAGATTACAAGTCCACCGCTCTTAATCACTACACCACACTGGCTCTCCAGTAAGAGCTGTTCAACAGTAGAAAAGACAACCAGAAGAGGTGGTAGACTCTCCTTCCTTGGAGGTTTTTAGCAGAGGTTGGATGGACATCTGTCATGTATGATGTAGTTCAGATTCCCGCATTGCAATGGTTGGACTCTTGGGTCCCTTCCAACTCTCCAATTATATGATTCTAATATTCTATGCTGCCTACATCCTTTCAATAGTCTGGAACAGACCAGTGGCGAATGGTTGGGATTACATGACACTTTCCATCACTTTTTCCATAAGTGGCCCATGCAATTGGACACCTTGCTTTTTGGGAAGTCCCAGATTGTATGTAGAGAGCCTACACATGCCCAGCTTGCATACATTCTGAGTATACAAAGGGGATGCACAGTGGTCAAGTCAGGTGTGGGAACAGCAGGCACAACCTCCTGCTCTCTCTGTGTGCCAATAATAATAATAATAATAATAATAATAATAATAATAATAATAATAATAATTTATTTTTAATCCCCACCCATCTGGCTGGGTTTCCCCAGCCACTCTGGGCAGCTTCCAACAAAATATTAAAATACAGTGGTCTGTTAAACATTAAAAGCTCCCCTAAACAGGGCTGCCTTCAGATGTCTTCTAAAAATCTGGTAGTTGTTCTTCTCTTTGACATCGAGTGGGAGGGCGTTCCACAGGGCGGGTGCCACTACCCAGAAGGCCCTGTGCCTGGTTCCCTGTAACTTGGTTTCTTGCAGTGAGGGAACCACCAGAAGACCCTCAGAGCTGGACCTCAGCGTCTGGGCAGAATGATGGGGGTGCAGACGCTCCTTCAGGTATACTGGGCCAAGGCCGTTTAGGGCTTTAAAGGTCAGCACCAACACTTTGAATTGTGCTCAGAAATGTACTGGGAGCCAATGTAGGTCTTTCAGAACCGGTGTTATGTGGTCTTGGCGGCCACTCCCAGTCACCAGTCTAGCTGCCGCATTCTGGATTAGTTGTAGTTTCACATCCTGCTGCTAGCTTGTCTGTACAGTGGTACCTCAGGTTAAGTACTTAATTCGTTCCGGAGGTCCGTACTTAACCTGAAATTGTTCTTAACCTGGAGACCACTTTAGCTAATGAGGCCTCCTGCTGCTGCCGCGCCGCCGGAGCACGATTTCTGTTCTCATCCTGAAGCAAGGTTCTTAACCTGAAGCACTATTTCTGGGTTAGAAGAGTGTGTAACCTGAAGCGTATGTAACCTGAAGCGTATGTAACCTGAGGTACCACTGTACATGATGTAGGGGAGCCCTACATGTTTCCATCAGTCTGTCCCTTCACACGTTTGTTTGTTTGTTTGTTTGTTTGTTTGTTTGTTTGTTTGCATGTGAGGCAGGGACTCTTGGCCACAGGAAGGAGGAACGGTTGAGACAACCCACTCACATGTGCTTTCAACATGTTATGTGAACCTCCCTAGAGAGATCGCATACAGTGCTGCAGCATTAGGGGGTTCCAGTGAAACCAAAGGGCCTATGCTGCTATATGTTGGAGTAACTCAGTTTGAAGAATTTGGAAATCATAAGCCATATATTGTCATACTTAGGTTCATAAACTGGGGGGGGGGGGAGTTCTCTTGTGGTGTTGTTGGGAGGGGCGGCCAGTACACTTACAAGCAGGGTGGATAAAAGTCAATGATTTTTTAAAAAATCAGGTTTTTTTATTTAAATCGATTTTTTTAAAAAAAAAAATTAAATCGGATTTCTTTCATTTGAATCAGATTTTTAAAATAAAATACTTTTGGAGGGAAAATCTTTCTAAAGACAGTTTTCCATTTAAGTTACATTATATTGCAAAGACTATTCGTCAGGAAATAAGGATTTGTTTAAAGTTTTTCATGTGTGCTAAAACTCAGTCTAAGGATTTGTTTTGTTTTGTTTTTTTATAAATAGTTTAACCATATCAGTTAACAAACATGGATATGTATGCTATAATGTTACTGTTTTAGTTTAAAAAAATGTTTAAATTGTTATTAAGGAAATGATTATTTTTCTCCTTCCAATAAAGTAGGGCAGAAAAGTTGTCCAAATATAAACAGTTAACTTATTAAACCTCACAATAATTCCATAATTATCTGTCAATGTATTTCTAATAGTATAACCAAATCAGTAATTTTTGATATAACTGTAAAAACTACTCTGAAAATTTATTATTCCAAAAATGAAACCTTCCTCTGGTTGTAAATATTAAGATTATACCAGAAAGAATGAGTCTTTCTGTAAAAAAAATCATAATGATTTAAATCAAGTCTTACTGACTAGTGATTTAAATCGTGATTTAAATAGATCTGATTTAAATCAAATCCACCCTGCTGATTCTGAAGCAGGCAGAGGGTTCCTCCTCACATCTGCCAGGCCCGGGTGAGTTAAATGTCCCTGACAGAGGAACTGCATTGATCCACGCTAGATCAACAAGTGGCCCTGTAAAAATGCTTGCAAGCAGGGTCAGGGCCATGCGACTGCTGACCCCAGCTCTACCTTCCTCCACAACGAGGCCCTATTGCAAACAGCTCAAGCCTTGATGACTTCGCTTTCAATGCTTACAAAGTTGAGCAACAGGATGACTGTCCATCTCTAGTCCCGGGAAGAGCTAATAGCATTTCTTTATGTGCAAGAGGGTTCAAGACGATCCTTTTCTAACGCCAGTTTTGGATCAGTGCCCCAATGTGGAAATCTTTACATGAAACTGCAGGCTACCCACGCACGCTTGCGTGTGAGGATTTCGCCACGTTCTCATGGTGGGCTGGGTGGGGCAGAAGGAAGGGGACTCAAATAAAAATAATAAAGAAATTAAAGTTACAGATAGGTAGCCGTGTTGGTCTGCCATAGTCAAAACAAAAAAATTCCTTCCAGTAGCACCTTAAAGACCAACTAAGTTAGTTCTTGGTATGAGCTTTCGTGTGCATGCACGAAAGTATCTGGTATCTGAAGAAGTGTGCATGCACACGAAAGCTCATACCAAGAACTAACTTAGTTGGTCTTTAAGCTGCTACTGGAAAGAAATTAAAGACATTTTAGTGGCATTAAGGCAATTGCCACTTTGGAAGCAATCTAAAGATTATGGCAGGCTATTGTTTAGGCAGGCAGTTTTTCTGTGTTTTCTTTTCTCGGATTACTCTTCTGTAAATAGTTAAGAATGGTTATATAACAGACAAAAAAACAGCAGTCTATTCGCACGCAATGAAAAAGGAGAAACCCAGGTGCTTCTCGACTGCTTCTTAACTAGCAGGTAAAGAGGCTTATGTGATTTTTATGGCCTCTCTGGGAATCCTCACAGCACCCAGAGCACATTTTGCTTTTTATTTTATTTTATTTTTGCTTTGAAAGGAGTATTGGTGCCAGGCTCCCTTAAATTACTAGCTCAAGCGGGTGTTAGAATTTGGTGGGGGTTAAACTGGATGCTGGGACGCGAGTGGTGCTGTGGGTTAAACCACAGAGCCTAGGACTTGCCGATCAGAAGGTCGGCGGTTCGAATCCCCACAACAGGGTGAGCTCCTGTTGCTCAGTCCCTGCTCCTGCCAACCTAGCAGTTCGAAAGCACATCAAAGTGCAAGTAGATAAATAGGTACCGCTCCAGCGGGAAGGTAAACGGCGTTTCTGTGCGCTGCTCTGGTTCGCCAGAAGCGGCTTAGTCATGCCGGCCACATGACCCAGAAGCTGTACACCGGCTCCCTCGGCCAATAAAGCGAGATGAGCGCTGCAACCCCAGAGCCGGTCATGACTGGACCTAACAGTCAGGGGTCCCTTTACCTTTTTAAACTGGATGCCAGATTCCTAACCCAGCTTCCTGTGTTCAGGAACTCACCTGGGGTGATGTGTCATTAGGAGAAGAAAAACAAAAAAACATGACAGCTGTTAGGAAAGTGGAAGAGAAGGGGGGTCTGCACCAGACACCAAATGGGAGGGAATCCTCGCTCAACTCAGAGTTAGTATGAAAAGAAAGGCAGAGTTTGAGGCAGAGCTCAGAGTTGGCTGGAATGTGCCCTGTAGGATAGAGAGGGTCAGAGCAACGTCTGATTTCTGTTCGAATCCAAGGCTGTGGCTATGGGAGAAACAAGACCCCTTTAAGTTGTCAAGGCTGTGAACCTCTCCATCGCAGACTCAAGTTTTATATATGTGTAAATACACCATATATCCTAAAGACACCACAAAGATGCCTAGGACCCTCATACCTATGGGACCGCCTCTCCTGGTATGTCCCAAGGAGGACTTTACGGTCTTCAAATAAAAACACCTTGGAGATCCCAGGCCACAGGGAGGTTAGGCTGGCCTCAACCAGAGCCAGGGCTTTTTCGGCCGTGGCCCCGATCTGGTAGAACGCTCTGTCACATGAGACTAGGGCCCTGCAGGACTTGACATCTTTCCACAGGGCCTGCAAGATGGAGCTGGTCCACCAGACCTTTGGCCAATGCACAGTCTGACCCCCTCTCTCCTCCTGTAATCTTTATAGAACTCTAGCGGGATATAAATAAATAAATAAATAAATTTATTATTATTATTATTATTATTATTATTATTGTTATTGTTATTATTGTTATTGTTATTATTATTCTCCACTGTCCCTCATTGTGAGAAAACCCAATGCAGAATCATAGAATTGGAGGGAACCATGCTGTGGGTTAAACCACAGAGCCTAGGACTTGCCGATCAGAAGGTCGGCAGTTCGAATCCCCGGGACGGGGTGAGTTCCCGTTGCTCGGTCCCTGCTCCTGCCAACCTAGCAGTTCAAAAGCACATCAAAGTACAAGTAGATAAATAGGTACCGCTCTGGCGGGAAGGTAAACAGTGTTTCTGTGCGCTGCTCTGGTTCACCAGAAGCGGCTTAGTCATGCTGGCCACATGACCCGGAAGCTGTATGCCGGCTCCCTCGGCCAGTAAAGCGAGATGAGCGCCGCAACCCCATAGTCGACCACGACTGGACCTAATGGTCAGGGGTCCCTTTACCTTTACCTTATGAACATACTTTAAACAAACTGGCCTGCAATATTAATAATAATATTAGCCACCCATCTGACTGGGTTTCCACAGCCACTCTGGGCAACTGAACCCCTGGATTCACTTAAAGAATAAATAAATTGGTTGTTATATTGATTTATTGGACACTTTTCAATTTCTAGCATATGAAGGTTAATCTTAGGGACAAGTTACTTAATCTTGTTAGAAGATCAACCATTTCACATCTGACCTCTTTCACAACTCTTGGATGGATGCCATCTGGACCCGACGATTTGTGTTTTTCATTTTATTTTGTTAACATGGCCTAGGACATCATCTCCCTGTTGCCACTATTTGACTCCATGGAGGAGAAAGAAGCATGTTTAACACATCACAATACCTAACCTATAAATATCCTCTTTTACTCTTTTGCTATTGAAATGGAAGGGTACATTTTAAAAACAGTTCACGAAACAGCTGCTCAAAATGCTTGCTTATAAGAATTTGTGGAACGACTCTGGTCATACTGAGATGGTCAACTTTTATTGCAAACCATTCCACTTTAGATGTCAGGTTGGACCCGCACAAGTGAATAGTTCTCTGCTGCTAAAATCCCATCCACATAGAAACCTACTAGGAAGAAGAGGTCCCACCGAGTCTTCTCCCTGAGATGCTAGCTTTCTATGAGCAGGGACTTTTTGTATACTGGGGGTCCTGCAGCCTGCACCCCTGGCACAGGTTTAAAATGGAGACCTAGGCCTATTTCAGGTGGAGAGTGGCAACAGTTGTTTTCAGAAAGTTGAAGGCAGTTTGAAAGAAGGATTATTGCTTGTATACCAATCCCACTTTCTTCCAAGCTAAACAAGTTTTGCAGGGGAAGCACTGCCTCTCTTAAACTGGAAAATGCCTTAAAACCACATGATTAGCAGCAATAAAGGTTATTCCGGGTTTTGCAACAACCAGCTTGAGGGCAATAGTCACATTGGCAATGCTATGAAATTCCCTGAACTTATTAACTGTTCTCAGTTGATGCCCGACCAGTTATGCATTTTACCCTGTCTGACTCTGCTGACCTGCTGAACTGCAGCAAAGGTCTCTTGTGTTTGCAGATCAATCAATCAATCAATCAAAATGTTTATTCGGCTTTACGCCCATCATGAAACACAACGCAACAAAACAAATCAAATAAAACAGCGGACTCGTACAAACCACAAGTAGTATAACACAGTTCACAACTCACAGGGACAGATATTAGCCATTCATAAGAAAAGTTTAAGATTAAGGTTAAAAATTTTAGGCATTACACTAAAATCAATATCTGATGTCATTATAGAAAATTCTTATAGCTATCAATAATCTGCTAACATTCCATTCTGTCTCTTGTACGAGAGGACGGCTGTTAGGAATTTAGCAACCTGTAGGGTAATATAAGGATCCACATCTTGAAGAACCCAGGCCAGCTGTGGGTCTACTGATTTGTCAGCCATAGGCTGGATTATGGAGTTTAGTATACTAGCACAGGCTGAACTGTACAAAGGGCAGATAAACATAACATGATGTAGAGATTCAGATGTTTTCATTTCACACGCACACATTGAAGGGACTTGGCCCTTAGTGAATCTATGTCTCAGCTCGTTTGTTGGAAAGACATTAAACCTAGCTCTAATGAAGGCATATCGGTGAGACGCGGCCGTAAGCGATGTTAAGTAGGACGGAGCGTGGTAGATAGGGGTTATGCCGAAATTTAGCGGCGAGCAGACTCCACCACCAGCTACGAAATTTTGGTATAGCTCCGCATCATCCAGCCTTTGATTTATACACCTTTTTGCCACATTTAGATCCAGTTTGAGCAATTCAGTGGGCGAGATCTCATAGGACAGCAATTTGGCGTGGATTTTTCCTGACCACAAATTTGTGAAGTCATCTCGCCACATGCATTGAATGAGATAGTGGTTCGGGAGTTTATGCCATAGGGATATCCAATAAATCAAAACTCTCCTCCATATAACTAACTCCACTGAGGGGATCTTCATTTCTAAGCGAATGGCCGCATTACTTACGCATGTTGGTAATTTTAGAAGTCGGCGTAAGAATTGGCTTTGAAGTGACTCTAAAGGTGAGAGGTTTGCAAAGGCAGCCCATAAAGGAGCAGCATAGGCCATTGTGGCCATCACTTTGATGCTATACACTTTCAAGGCCGCAGGGATGAATAAGGCCCCTCGGAGTAGAAAAAACGGAGGAGGGAGTGTGATAGGGCTTTTGTCTTGTTTTGAAGATATTCAACGTGCGCTTTCCACCCTAAATTATATTGAAAATAAATTCCTAAATATTTGCAGACTAAAGTGACTCCTTGTGCCTTTTTCATCCCCACCAAAAATTGTCCGATGAATCTGGCGCATAGCACAATAGATGGCAAAAGAACTCATAATGACAGAACAAGCAACACTTAAGAAGTTTCTTCCATGGCTTCCTCCATGTTCATCTCCCCAAATTATTTTTTGGAAGTCAAATGCACATTTCCAACAAAATGAGTTGTAAAACAGATTCACGTCTTTTATCAATCAATCAATATGTACGTTTTTGTAATCATCGAGTTGACACCTTTTACAACTAGATATCTGTGGCGCTGTGGTCTAAACCACTGAGCCTCTTGGCCTTGCCAATCAGAAGGTCGGCGGTTCGGATCTGCACGATGGAGTGAGCTCCCATTGCTCTGTCTCAGCTTCTGCCAACCCAGCAGTTTGAAAGCACACCAATGCGAGTAGATAAATAGGTGCCGCTGTGGCGGGGAGGTGAACAGTGTTTCCGTGTGCCCTGCTTTCCACCACGGTGTTCCGTTGCGCCAGAAGCGGTTTAGTAATGCTGGCCACATGACCCGGAAAGCTGTCTGTGGACAAATGCCAGTTCCCTCAGCCTGAAAGCGAGATGAGCGCCATAACCCCATAGTCTCCTTGGACTGCACTCCCTGATTGCAGCTCTCCATCTCTTGTGATTAGATCTAATACCAAATCACATCAGGTCAGATCTGGCCAGCCACATAGGTTGGGATTGCATGGTTCAGTCATAAGGAGGGAAATACAGTGGTACCTCGGGTTAAGAACTTAATTCGTTCCGGAGGTCCGTTCTTAACCTGAAACTGTTCTTAACCTGAGGTACCACTTTAGCTAATGGGGCCTCCTGTTGCTGCTGCGCCGCCGCCGCTCGATTTCTGTTCTCATCCTGAAGTAAAGTTCTTAACCCGAGGTACTATTTCTGGGTTAGCAGAGTCTGTAACCTGAAGCGTCTGTAACCTGAGGTACCACTGTATGTAACAAGCTGCAAGACCAGCACATTCAGTGGACAGATAGGACATTTGTCCCTGAATACACACTCACCGTGAACCGCCACAGTCCCCCAATGCCATCACTCCTCTCAAAGCAGGTGGGCTCCAGGCCTTCATCTAGGCAGCATTTGATGGATGCCAGTCCACTCACTCCTGCTCCAATCACTGCTACTGTTTTTACCATGGTCACCTAGAACAGGGGGAATTGTACAGATCCTTCCTCAGAACCAGTTAAAATAATAATAATAATAATCAACACCTTCCCCCTCTATTTCATTAAATATTGTACAATAAAACACAACTTCAGCACATTCTGTCTGCCCCAGTGATGCCCACCCACCATTATGACTCGTTTGGTGTACCAGTGTAAACTCCCCATGAACCACCCACCCCTCTCTGTTTCCCCCCACCCCAAGGACTACTTGAAATCATTGGGAACCAAGAAATCTAAAACAGATGAAATAGAAAAAAAGATAAAATAAGGGGAAGCAAATATACAGAGAAAAGAAACAAAAACGTATCTCCTTTGCCATTTTATATGCAGTATGTTACGAGTCTCCAAAGACCTCCAAAAGGAACTTGGGCTCCCATGCTAAATGATTTTCCAAACCCCGACACAACTCACAACCAAAAAGCTCGTCCTTGTCTCCGTGAGCATTCACACACACTCTTGCAAACCGGGACCATACACTCACAGCATGAATGCAAAGTTTCCCCACTTCTTAGAAAGCCTGTCCTCCTGACTCTAAAACGATCAGCGATAGTTGGCATTCCCAGCCTGGCTAGGCTCCCAGTGAGCTAGCTTCCCACCACTGCAAACATGTCCTGCACCATTTCTTTGAAAAATAATTTTTATTTTAAAAAAATTCTTAGGTTACAAAAAGGTTATGTGGACCCTCTCTTTTCTTTTCAGGTCTTTTCTGCAGATCAGTTCCATTCAATGTGAGAAAGGGAGGACACGGCCGCTGAAAAGTGCCTCAAAAAGTCCACAGCAGAGCAAGGCTTGTACTCCCATCACGTTTTTGGTATTAGGGTTACGCTACCCCTACTCAAGCCCTAGAGATGCCATGGGCTTGGAGAAGCCCCTGTGGCTACAGGGCTTTGAAACATGAACATCTGAACGAGCAGCAAAGCTGCTTACACAAACCTTGCCCTTTCCTCCAGCTGCAGCCTGTTAGGCTGTAACTACAACAGAATGAGGATTTGGCAGATGCAGACTCAGTTGAGTCTGGGGAAAGATACTGCGATTCTCCACCCTGCCAATTCCAGCTCTACTTTCCCTTATGCTGCCACTAAAATCACCTTACTTTTCCTTGTTTGCTGCTCCTCTTCTTCCAGTCCTGCCAGCTCCCTGTCCGCATGCAAGTAGGATTCACCAGAGAAGGCGAAACTTCTCCCTCTTAGCTTTGGAAATGTGGGAGGAGTTTATTTGAAAGCCAGGAGGCACAACATACATTATCTGGGCTGATTCTGGTCCTACATCCATTCCCTGTCCTCAGGGAAATGTTGGTTTGGATAGTAACTCACTTCCGCCTTAAGTCCTGTACAGGCGTGCTCTAGCGCTGCCATATTTTGAAGAGCAAAAAAGAGGACAGATGTGCGAGGACACATTTATAGGTGGGCTGGGGGGGGAGGAAGGGGGGAAAGCAGTACTAGCGTGTGGGTGCAGTAAAAGACAAAAGGTGTATGGAAATATTTAATAATGGTAATAAAAATGAAAGTTAGAAAGAAAAATGAGGGGGCAATAATTAAGAGGTGTCAGTGAAAGCAGAGTAGAAAGGGGATTAAAGAGAAAAGGAAGGGGGGAATGGCTAAAAATACAAAAACAAACCCAAAAAAGCTGTGTGTGTGTATATATAATCAGGATGAGGATGGTTATTGCCGTATCTGGAGGTTGGAGCCGTTCCTGAGGGCTAGGACTGCATCATTGAGGGAAAGCTCTCGTCAACTCAGGCCTCCCCAGCAGTGGCGGAGGAAGGAGGTGCGGTAGGCACTGTCCGCCCCGGGTGTCACCACTGAGGTGGGTGACTAAATGCCGGGCGGCACTCACCACGGGACCTGCAGCACGCCCAAGCCACGCGTCTCTCCTGGGATTGACACGGTGGCTTGGGCGCCCGCAGGCGCCGTGCTGCCCCAACAGTCCACACACTGCCTCTCCTCCAGCTGTGGGGCAGCTGAGTGGGAGGAGGCAGGCAGACTCCCGAGGCCCTGCAGTGCGCCCCATCGCTGGACCGTCCCAGGTGCCCAAGCGGCTTCCTCCACTGCTGCTCCCCCATAGATACTGCCATTTTCAGTCTCCTCTGCACTCGCCCACCTAAATAGATAAATAAATAAATAGGACCAAACCAAGCAGTCCAAGGCAAAACAAATTACTCATCGCTTGGGTTTGGGGAGTGGGTCTGGTCCACAGCAGCAGACTCCTGGGGCTTAGCTGTCCAGGGATCGATGAAGCAGCTGTGGTTCTGGGGGAATACGAGTAGGCACCGTGGTCTAAACCACTGAGCTTGGGCTTGCCAATCAGAAGGTCGGTGGTTCGAATCCCCACGACGGGGTGAGCTCCCATTGCTCTGTCCCAACTTCTGCCCTCCTAGTAGTTCGAAAGCACTTCCGAAAATAGATAAATAGGTACCGCTGTGGTGGGAAGGTAAACGCCATTTCCGTGCACTCGTGGTGTTCCGTTGCACCAGAAGCAGTTTAGTCAAGCTGGCCACATGATCCAGAAAGCTGTCTGTGGACAAACGCCATCACCCTCAGCCTGAAGTGAGATGAGCGCCGCACCCCATAGTTGCCTTTGACTGGACTTAACCATCCAGGGGTCCTTTACCTTACCTTTACCTGGGAGAAGCAGCACCAGGAGCCACCGTGCTCCCTCTGCCATACATCACAGGTCTCAGTTCTCAGTCCCTGGCTTTGTTGCACTGGGTTGGCAACCCTAGCTGTTCACATCTTTCTTTACTATGTCATAGGACATTGGTAGAAATATAGATACATAAAATAAATTATGGCATCTTTCTGTTTGTTTGCTGAAAGAAGGTAGAATTCCAGGAGGGCACTGAGTATTTTTTTTTTTTTTTGTCTTTCTGAAAATGGGGCAGTAGGCCAAATAAGTTTGAGAACCTCTAGGCCGCATGATGGCAGCTAGGGGGTGACATTTCAGAGGAGGTCTGGACACACATAATGAAGCATGTTTGACCAGACTGTTCTGCTAAATTGCCTGCCTCAGCAGCCCGATTCTGACCCTCAGGTGGATAAAATAGGAACTTGAGATGGCAAGCTGGTCAAAGCAGTGGCGTAGCGTGGGGGGTGCCAGGGGTGCCGGCCGCACCGGGCGCAACATTTTGGGGGCGGCGTTTGGCCGCCCCCCTCGAGGAAGCGGGAACCTCTCCAAGGCACAGCGTGCCGTCGGTAGAGGAAAAAGCCGCGCAGCAGCAGCAGCAGCAGCAAAGTCGGGAGGAGGAGGAGGTGGAGCGAGCCTGCTAATTCCTTGCTGGGGAATTAAGCGGCTCAAGACTCTCCACTGGCCGCCTGGGTAGTGAGCCGAGCCGAGCAGGGAGTCTGGCGAGGGGGCGGGAAGAGACTTTTCCCCCTTTTTTCCACCTCGCCTGGTCAAAAAGGAGAGCGGAGTCTCCTCAGGGCGCCCTCAGGCAGGGCAGGGAAAGGCAAGCAGAGCGAGGAGGAGAGAGGGGGGGGGGAGCAGCCAGGAAACGCCGCGGTGTGGAGGAGGAATCAATTTAGGAGAGAAAGCGAAAAGCCTTGGAGAAAGGGAAAAAAAGGAAAGAAAAGAGGCAGCTCCAGGAGAGCGCGGGGGAAAGAGAAGCCTCGCTGCTGCTGCTTGGGAGAGTAAATTACTGTACTTGCCTTGCCCCGGGTTAGGGGGCGCAAATTACTTGCCTTGCCCCGGGTTAGGGGGCGCAAATTACTTGCCTTGCCCCGGGTGCTGATAACCCACGCTACGCCGCTGGGTCAAAGGCAATACAGTGGTACCTCGGGTTACAGACGCTTCAGGTTACAGACACTGCAGGTTACAGACTCTGCTAACCCAGAAATATTACCTCAGGTTAAGAACTTTGCTTCAGGATGAGAACAGAAATCGTGCGGTGGCGGCGCCACAGCAGCAGGAGGCCCCATTAGTTAAAGTGGTACCTCAGGGTAAGAACAGTTTCAGGTTAAGAACGGACCTCCAGAACAAATTAAGTTCTTAATCTGAGGTACCACTGTATATATTAATTACATTCTTTGCAGCATTTGACTCCCACTCCACCCCCCAAACCATTCACTTTATTCTACGTTGGGACCCAGTTCCCCTTTGTTCAGGTTTGCTAGGCTTTGAGTGAACAAAATACGATGCTTTTCTTGGCTGTGCGTTTGGTATGTCTTGGCCTCAGCTTTGAGCTAAAAGTTCAGAACTTTTAGAAGGGGAATTTATGGTGAAAAGGGCAAAGCAAATTTACTCTATGGCAGATGTTTATGCTGACCTAGCAGCCTTCTCTAAATCAAGGAAGGTTTCTACTAGGGTACTGCAGGACTCCAATGATTCAGTGGTTGAGAATGAGCTGAGACTATAGCGGCAAGAGTCTTATTAGCACAAGGATGGAAGAATGAGGAAATCCCAACGAAAGAACAGAGGCAAGAAAAACTATGCGGAACTGGCCAAATTGACATATAAACTATGTGAGAAGGACAATTGTGACTTCAAAGAAGATTGGGAACTTTTTACAAATTATTTGAAAAAACAAGAAAATGACTTGGACTCCTTGGCAGGTTTTGAATAAACATCCACAAGTTTATTAATAGAATACATGACAGATAAGGTAATGATATGTACAATTTTTAACATGCAGAGAATAACAAGTGCAAACAAATCATACCTCTACCTCTCTTTCAAATCAGAATCAGTGAAGGTGGTGAAGGTCCTGTGTGAGTGCCTGGAGGCGGTTGGAGGATGGATGGTGGCTAACAGATTGAGGTTGAATCCTGACAAGACAGAAGTACTGTTTTTGGGGGACAGGAGGCGGGCAGGTGTGGAGGACTCCCTGGTCCTGAATGGGGTAACTGTGCCCCTGAAGGACCAGGTGCGCAGCCTGGGAGTCATTTTGGACTCACAGCTGTCCATGGAGGGATAGGTCAATTCTGTGTCCAGGGAAGCTGTTTACCAGCTTGATCTGGTACACAGGCTAAGACTCTATCTGCCCGCGGACTGTCTTGCCAGAGTGGTGCATGCTCTGGCTATCTCCCATTTGGACTACTGCAATGCTCTCTACTCGGGGCTACCTTTGAAGGTGACCCGGAAACTACAACTAATCCAGAATGCGGCAGCTAGACTGGTGACTGGGAGTGGCCGCCGAGACCACATAACACTGGTCTTGAAAAACCTACACTGGCTCCCAGTACATTCCCGAGCACAATTCAAAGTGTTGGTGCTGACCTTTAAAGCCCTCAACGGCCTTGGTCCAGTATATCTGAAAGGAGCGTCTCCACCCCCATTGTTCTGCCCAGACACTGAGGTCCAGCGCCAAGGGCCTTCTGGCGGTTCCCGCACTACAAGAAGCCAAGTTACAGGGAACCAGGCAGAGGGCCTTCTCGGTAATGGTGCCCTCCCTGTGGAACACCCTTCCACCAGATGTCAAAGAGAACAACAACTACCAGACTTTTAGAAGACATCTGAAGGCAGCCCTGTTTAGAGAAGCTTTTAATGTTTGATCCATTACTATATTTTAATATTTTGTTGGAAGCCCAGCCAGATGGGCAGGGTGTAAATAATAAATTATCATCATCAGAGAAAGGAGCTCTTGGAGGGAGGGAGAGGGAGGGATGGGGAAGGGGGGATAAAAAGGGGAAGAAAATAATGCAGTTGATTACTTGGATGGATCCTTCATTTTGTTGAAATTGTTTAATAAAAATATATTTCAAAAGAGAGAGAGAATGAGCTGTGATTCACTCTGGGCCAATTCAGACCTGACCCTTGAATCCAAATCAGAATTCAGAAATCCAAATGGGAAACCAAAATGGCTGTAACTTTTTTTCTAACATAATGAAGGAATACAGGATTTTGGGCAAGTTCTTGTTGTAGTGCTTCCAGTGAAATCTATTTCCGTGTTTGGGCAGCCAATAACTAATTCTATGTATCAAGTTTCATATCAATCAGAACATTAACAGAAGAGATATGCATGAAAACGCTGAACACTATCCCAGGAAACCTCAGCTTCCCTCACTTCCAATTGTGGCTTTCCAGCTGAGAATGAATCTTTTCTTCCTTATGCAAAAGTTCAAATCTGTCCACTTGTTTTTCAGTAAGCATTGTTTGATTATTTAATTTTGATTTCCATACCACTTAAAATATTAAAAATGTCTCCAAGCAGAGTACAAAAAAGAAGCAACGACAGGAAACTTAAACAAAACATTACACAAATATTACAGTTACATATGAAAAAGTTACATTAATACAAAGTTACTAATATATATAAAGAAATATAATTTCATTTTCCTTCTGACGTACCCACCCTCTCAGCCTC